CGGGGGGCCTGGTGTGGGGCTGGGACCCCTGACTCCTCAGTGGAAGCTCTGCAGTGGAGATATCCCTTCCGATTTTCTCCGTCCCTCTTATGGTGTCAGTGTGGCTTCTTCTTTAATTCCCTAGTTGTAGGGCTTCCATTCAGCCAGATTTCAGGTGGTTCTAAATGATGGTGGTTCTGTAGTTCAGTTGTAATTTTGATGTGGTCGTGGAGGATCTGAGTACTGCAATTACCTACACCACCATCCTGTCTGAAATCTCCCATTTCCTTTAACATATACTGGATATTATGAATGATACATTGTAGAGACGTTCAGTTCTGTTATATTCCCCTGAAATGTGTTAACTTTTATTCTAACAGTTAACTTGGCTGTTTTTAAACTCCAAACTGTGTCTTAGTGAGGAGCTTAGCTGTCACTAGAGATAAAGGGGAGCCACTGAAGGATTAACAGCATTTCTCCTTCTTAGATAGATGAGTTGTCATGGCAGTAACTGGAAACATTTGACAGGCATAGTGAGGAAGGAGAGAGACAAGATACAAGGCTGTTGGAGTAGATCAGGCTACAGAGCGAAGGTCTGTACCGTGGCAGTGATGTTGAGAATGGAGAAGAGGGCGTAGGGAAGCGTTTAGGGTATAAGATGGCAGATTTGGTGACTGGTTGTGGAGCGGGAGAGATCACTGGATCTGGCAGTAAGGAAGGCATTGGTGGCCTGAAGGAGAGCTAACTGTGTGGGGCAGTGAAACAAGCCAGGTGCTAATGTGCTAAGGTGTGAATGTCAGTGAGGAACTGCAGCAGCGAATGCAGGCTCTTTTAAGAAGTTTATATAAGAAGACTGATGTTAGAAGGGAGTTGACGTTCACTCCTTGAAACTCTCTCCTGTATGGCTTTTATGACACCTTACCCCTCATTCTTGCCTCTTATCATTCTTTAAGAGCGTCTTTTCCTTTCTGCATCCCTTAAATGTTTCTCAGGGCTCCATCCATAACCCTTAGCTGTTCTCTCTTCACTTCACATGCTCTCTCTGCCGAATCTTGTCTAGCCACACCTTCATTACGTACATGATTCCCAAATCTGTATTTGCAGCTCATTCTGGTTTATCCAGCTGCATATTATATTTCTCTGTTGATGCATGCTTAAGGCACCTTAAATGCAATGTATTCAAAACAACTCATCAACTTCCCCTACCCTAAACCTGGTCCGACTCTTGTATTCTATCCTGGTTAGTAGGAGCCTCATATATCTAGTCACTACAGTTATTAACCTGGGGGTTAAACATACCTCTTTTTCCTTTGCTTTTATATACCTAATCATTCACTAAGTCCTACTGTGTCTTCTCTGTCCCCCCCTTTATCGTTGCTTTCATTACCTGCTGTCTGTGCCACTGCCGTAACTTTCCTGCCTCTGATCCCCTCCATTGTTCTCTTTGAAATGCAGTTTTTGCTCCTGCTTTAAATCTGTCCCTACTGAACGAAACCTACGCTTTTTACTTTGGCTCATGATTTTGCCTCTGTCTACCTTTCTAGCTTTGTCTTGTGTTACTCCCTTTGTCATAAGTTAGGCTCCAGCCATACCAGTTTGCCTTTGGGTCCCTGCGTGTAGCAGGCTGTTTCTTATTTTTGTGCCTTTGCTTTCGTCGCTCATGCTGTGCTCTGTCTGGAAATGCCCTCCCAACACTTCTGGCTCTCCCCACCTCCAACCCTCTGGTTAATCCTGTCTTGTCTTAGGGACTGCCTCCAATAAGTCTTTGCTGACTACTCTATCCATCTCCCTCCCAAGCTGGGTAAGATCTCCATTCTGTTTCTCAGATACCCAGTATACACTTTTACCATAGTTATGCTTTTTATTTTAATTATTTGTTTAAATGTCAACCTCCTGTGAGTTCATCAGGACAGGCGCTGGGTTATACTCATTTTCATGGCACAGTGCCTCGTATGTAAAGAATTCACCAAATGTTTATGTAATGAACGGATTGAATGTGAGATGTGGACATGAGCTGAGAGTGAGCTGGGCCTTCAGAGGGAGGTGGATGTTTGAAACCCTGGGAATAGAGTGAACAGGGACTGACGGAAGGATGAATTACATGCTCTATCCCTTTGCTTCTGTTGCATGTGCCTTAAGTATTCTCACACGCCTTATTTTCTTCCTTATTCATTAGGTTGTGAACACTTCTCTTAAAAAAAAAAAAAAATGTCCAGTTCAGGATTCTGGCTGATGAGTATCTCTTGATTGCAGATCCAATGGATTTGAACAGAAGCGCTTTGCCAGGCTTGCCAGCAAGAAGGCGGTGGAGGAACTTGCCTACAAGTGGAGTGTTGAAGATATGTAACTTTTCTGAGGCTGTGGGGGCGGCTGTGGGTTGTGGCAGTGGACATAGGGCAGCCAGGTGTCCAGCTGTAACAGCTGTGTATGCTAATAATCAGCGCCCACACATACCAGCAACTCTTTGAATGCTAGTTTTGACCACTTGAGAAGAAGAATATTGGAGACCTGCTGTCTGGACTGAGGCACTGTAACTTCTCAGGTGTGCCAACCCTGGCGGTTGTTCCTGGCTTTCAGAAGAAACATTGATTTCTCAGTGTCCCAAGGTTTGTTCTTGGTTAGGTTTTTTAATAAACATACATTTATTTTTCTAAAATCACTTTCTTAACTGGGTATTTTTTTGGAGGGAGAATACAAGCCAATAATATTGAACTTCCTGGGACCATGGAGAAAAACGGTTGGATTTTTCATTAATATAGAAAGCAGTATAGTAGTCTTAAACCCCTCTTATCTGGAGTTTTGCTTTCTGTGGTTTCAGTTATGTGTGGTCAACCATGTCTCAAAATATTAAATGGAAAATTCCAGAAATAATAAGTTTTAAAGTTCCCATCGTTGTGAGTAGCATGATGAAGTCTTCCTCTGTCCCACCCATCTTGCCCAGGATCTGAATCATCCCTTTGTCCAGTATATCCACATTGTATGTGTTACCCACCCAGCAGTCACTTAGCCGTCTTGGTTATTAGATCGACTCTTGTGGTCTCACAGTGCTTGTGTTCAAGTCACTCTTATTTTACTTACTCATGGCCCCAAAGCACAAGAGTAGTGATGCTGGCAGTTTGGATATGCCAGAGAGAAGTCATAAAGTGCTTGTTTTAAGTGAAAAGGTATGTATATTTAGGAAGAAACATGGTATATATAGGTTTCGATACTATTCGTGATTTCAGGAATCCACTAGGGAGGGGTTTTGGAATACATTCCCTGCAGATAAGGGGGGACTACTGTGTCAGTAAAAACTTTCACAGTGATGGAGCTTTCCTCTTAGAAAATATGAGTTAGTGCTAAGCTGGACCTAGGAATAGACATGGCTATTTAGAGACCTGATAAAGGTACTATCACCAATTAGTGGCGAAGAGATGGAAATGGTGCTCAGAAAATTGGCTTATATGGAAAAAATAAAGTTGGATCCCTATATCAAACCATATAAAACAAAGACAAATACCACAGTGATGAAAGACTTAAATGAAAGGTAAAATGCTGAAGCCAATAAGAAAAAAACAAAGAATGTCTTTGTGATCTTGGGGTGAGGATAGATTTGATAAGATTCCCAAAGCACAGCCCACGAGATTTGATAGCTTTGACTACTTCATAGTGAAAGATTTCTAGTCAACAAAGCATCCTATAGGTAAGGCTACAGATGGGTATAGTTTAGAGGAAAATATTTGCAGTGTCTAAAACTGACAAGGGATTGCATTATATAGTGATTGAATACAGAAATAACTACTGCAAATTGGGAAGAAAAACAAAAATGCGCAAAGAATTTGAATAGGTTAAATCTAAAGGGAGAACCAGAATGGCTAGTAAGTATGTTACCTCGTCAATAACTAAGAGAAATGCAACTGAAAACATTAATGAGTTTCTATTAGTTTGGCCAAAATAAACAAAAGACTGAACTCTCATGGGGGAATGAAAACTCATGGGAATTTCAACTGGTTCATCCATTCTGGAGAACAAATGGGCAACACTTAATTGAATTAAGTAATATCTGGATGCAGTATTGCATAGCTTTTAAGAGTGCTTTCACGCTACACTGCCTGAGTTTGAATCCCAGCTATGTCTTTTGCTAAGTATGTGATCTTGATAAGCCACTGAATGTCTCTGTGCCTTAGTTTCTTCATCTATGAAATGGAGATACTTAACTCATAGGTTAATTGTGAGCTGAGTACAGTGACTGGCATATAGTATATGTCACAGAATTGTTAGCTGTTATTATCATTGTCTTACCAAGTGTTCATAGCCAGCTCCCATGATGGTCCTGACCCCTGGTATTCAAGCCCCGGGTAGTCCCCGTTCACTGCGGGGACGTATGGGATGATAGGATGTGTGGGAAATGTGTGACTTCTGAGTTTAGGTCATAAAAGACATAGAAACATCTGCCTTGAGGACACACTCAAGCAGCACTCCGGAGAGGCCCATGTGGAGAAAAACTGAGGCCTCTCACCAATAGAGAGCACCAAGTTACCAACTATGTAAGTGAACTATCTTGGAAGTGTATCTTCTAGCTTCATTCAGGCCTTTAAAAAAAAGCCCTGACTGGTATGGCTTAGTGGCTTCCGTGTCGTCCTGTGCACCGAAAGGTTGCTGGTTCAGTTCCCAGTCAGGCCACATGCCCAGGTTGCGGGCTCAGTCCTGGTCAGGGTGCATGCGGGAAGCAACCGATTGATATTTCTCATCGTGTGTGTGTGTGTCTTTCTCCCCCTCTCCCTTCTCTCTCTCAAAAAATCAATAAAGACATTTAAAAAAAAAAAAAAAAGTGTATGCGGCCCTGATCAACAGTGTGACCACAGCCTCATGAGAGATCCTGAGCCAGAATCAACCAGCTCCAAATTAACCCAAAGAAACTGTGAGGTTATAGGTGTTTAAAAGCAGCTTTATTAAGATATAATTCGTGCACTATACAGTTTATCCATTTGAAGCATACAGGTCAGTGGTTTTGAGCTATCGCAGAGCTGTGCAACCATCACTGCAACTTTAAAACATTTTATTACCCGGCGGATACAGGAAACTATCCATTAGTGGTCACTCTCCACTTGTCCCCATCTCTGCTAGGTAACCACTAATTTACTCTTTGTCTATATAGATTTACCTGTTCTAGGCATTTCATGTAATATGTCCCTGGGACTGTCATATAATATGTAGCCTTTTGTGTCTGGCTCTTTCACGTAGCATGATGTTTTTAAGGTTCATCCATGTTGTAGTATGTATCAGTACTTCATTCCTTTTTATGGCTGAATAATATTCTCTTATATGGATATACCACATGTTATTCATGCATCAACCGATGGACAGTTGAGTTGGTTCCACTTCTTGGCTGTTGTTGATAGTGCTGCTCTGAACGTTCATGGACAAGTTTTTGTGTGGACGCACGTTTTCATTTTGCTTGGAGTGGAATTGGTGCTGGGTCATATGGTAACTTCATATTTAACTTCGAGGGACTGCCAAACTTCCAGACCAGTGTATGAGAGTTCCAATTTTTTCACATCCTTGCTAACAACTTGTTGTTATCTCTGTTGATTGTAGCCATCCTAATGGGTGCGAAATGGTGTCTCATTGTGGTTTTGATAAACATTTCCCTAATGACTAATGATGTTCATTATCTTTATGTATTTTCTTTAGAGAAATGTTTACTCAAATCCTCTGCCCATGTTTTAATTGGATTATTTGACATATATATATATATACACACTTATGTAGAGTTCTTTATATGTTCTAGGTTACAAGTCTTGTCAGATATACGATCTGTAAACAATTTTCTCTTGTTCTGTGGGTGTTACTGTTTTAAACTGCTGATTTGAAGTAATTTGTTATACAACAATAGGTAACTAATGCATTAAATATGTACATACCTTATCTCAAAGCAGTTCCATCCTGGCCAGGCCTTCAGAGAATTTGTACAGATCCATGGGGAGTCTGTGTATATTTTGGGTAGCATATACTGGAAGCAACTTAGATGTCTGTCCCTACAGGAAGTGATAAGTAAAATGTGGTGGATGCCTATGATGGAATATTATAAAAAGCAGTCAGATACCAGCAGTTAAGGATTTAGTAACATGTACTCCAGGTGAGGAAAATAAGGAACAATGAGATCTACATAAAAAATCAGCTGAGTAGCCCTGGCTATCTTGGTTCAAGTGGTTAGAGCATCAGCCCACAGATGGAAGGGTCCCTTGGGTTTGATTCCCAGTCAAGGGCATGTACCTGGGCGGCAGATTCAACCTCCATCTCTAGTTAGCATGCCTGTGGGAGGCAACCAATCATTGTGTCTCTTTTACACCGATGTTTCTCTCTCTCTCCACCCCACCTCCCTCTCTCCCTTCCACTCTCTCTAAAAATCAATGGAAAAAATATCCTCAGGTAAGGATTAACCAAAATAAATAAATCGGCTAAGTAAAACACAGAGCAACACTTATATTATTTATTTAAATTTTATTTTTCAGTTACCGTTTACATTCAGTATTATTTTGTCTTAGTTCCAGGTGTACAGCATAGTGATTAGAAAATCATGTTTTACAGTGTTCTCCCTGATACTTACAGTACCCACTTGGCACCATACATAGTTATTACAATATTATTGACTATATCCCCCATGCTCTCCTTAACATCCCTGTGACTATATTGTGACTACCAATTGGTACTTCTAAATCCCTTTACCTTTTTTACCCAGCCTCCAACCCCCTCCTCTCTGGCAACCATTAAAATATTCTCTATCTATGAGTCTTATTTTTTGTTTGTTCGTTTATTTTGTTCTTTAGATATAAGTTTCACATAGAAGTGAAACATATGGTATTTGTCTTTCACTGTCTGACTTATTTCACTTAGCATAGTGTCCTCTAGGTCCATCCATGCTGTCACAAATGGTAAGATCCCATTCTTTTTTGTGGCTGAGTAATATTCCATTGTATTTGCATACCACAGCTTTTTTATCCACTTGTGTATTGATGGACACTTGGGCTGCTTCCATATTTTGGCTATTATAATGAGAGCAGCATTATTTTTTAAGGAGGATATATATATATATATCTCCCAGGATATGTTCTGCACTGTAGATCGCGCTAGGTTCTGTGGGAGAGAATGAAATGAGGAGAGGAGGGAAAGGGAAACAGAGTGGCCTTGAATGGATGAATATGACTGTGTCCTGAACTCAGGCATGTGATCAGCTCAGCTCTCAGCACCTGAGGCCCTAAGCACAGCTCCAGAAGCAAGGCCTTGCACCAATGGGATTGACATTTAGTACCTGTATTAGTTCGGGTGGGCTAAGCTGCTGTGATGCCTCCAAATGGACTGGCTTACCACAACAGCACGATAGGTGTTTTTTTCTCCCGCCTCGCTCCAGTAATACCCAGGGTAGTTTCATGTTGAGCCAGTGGGGGCGGGAAGATACTCTACTCCATGCAGTCATTTAGGGATGAGGCTGATACCAATGTTAACATGGCCTCCAAGGTTGCTTTGGGCATTGCCATTTTAGTGAGTTGAGCAGAGCTTGGGAGATTGCTTGGCAGATGTTACAGGCCAGCTCTAGAAGTGGCACACGCTTCACTCACTTTCTGTTGGCTGGAACTTAGTTGTATGGCTGCCCCTCAATTCAGGGGAGCCTGAGGA